GGTTGCCTCGGATAAAAAGGATCTAGGACATTAGGGTTGCTTCTAAGGTGTCCTACCATTGCTTCGGTGACCACACTGTCCCGATAATCGAATTGACCCGAACAACTCCAACGATGGTGCTACCTACCTCTCAATGGTGGGATAGCACTATCTAAAGGACTCTTACACAGCTTAATTCCTTAGGGTAGGTAGATCTCTTGAGTACTTTCTCTTTTCAAACAAACAAAAACAACTTTTCACACCTCATACTTTCAAAAAGTTTTCAAACAATACTTCATACACTCTTGAGGACTGATACAAAAGTTACCTAGAAGTTTTCAAACGAACTTTTTTTCAAAACCCACACACACTTGAATAGCAAACAATTTTTGAAAACATAAGAGCAAGTACCTAAGAGCCCGTGGATAACCACGGATAGAAAGGGTGCTAACACCTTCCCTTTCTATAAATCTACCTCCCGAACCGAGAAACATTCTCATAAGGAATTTTGCTGTGCTTTTGTCCTTTCCATGTTGGAGAACATAAAAGACGGTGGCGACTCTTGCTTACCGCGACATTTCGCGAAACCAGCTAAAAACAGTCAGTTCTATTTCCACCGATCACAGGAGTTCTGCTCCGTTTTTAAGATGGGAGTTCTTATCCAATGGTACCACATGCACTAGCATAGTATTGAGTCGCATTCCAAGTTGTATAATTAAGTTGTTGTGATGATGAATTAATTTTTATGTTTTGTTGATAGTCTGTTGTGATGGTTGTTGTTATAAGTTGTGAAGTGGTGATCTTTGCATGAATTGATTCTAGTGTAATATTTATCATACATTCTATTATAATGTTCAATATCTCACCCCTTCTGTTTGAATGTTACCCTTGGTAACTTGCAGGTAATCCAGAGTGAAGGCGGTTGACTTTCAATAGTTCGAGTCGGTGTCATTACTCTGATACGTAACACTCGGGGGGATGAACGCTAGTTGCTTTAGTATTTGTTATTTCAGTTGTTGAACTTTAAGTTGATTGTTGTTAAGCACTTGTTATTCAGAAGTTGCTTCCATGTTGGATAAATATGTTATTATGATTCTGTTGCGTAGTTGTTCAAGTTGTTGATTTAAAAGATTAACTTATTTTGATGTCGGTTCATCCAAAGTTTTAAAGTGTTATGTATCCATGTTGAATGCAATGGTTTTAAGTTGAATTTGTGGCATCCTGATTCAGTTGCATAATTTTTATAACTCTAATTTACATTTATATTGTCGGGTAGAATTGGGGTGTTACAAAGTTCCTTGAAAGATCCTACAGATTGGGGTAAGACTGGCTATAGAGGAGCATTACCTTTCCATACTTTCAAAGATGCTCTAGCAAATACTTTCGTGCATAAGTGACTAATGAGCTCAAGATGAGTGTTGGGAAATCATGATAAGAATCCTTATAAAAATAAAAGCACTTCACTGTTTCAACCATACATGACCAACCACACGGGAGCTGGTGAAACATTCAAATCATTGCATAAATCATTATCATGCATCAATCATGTCACTTTGGTCTAGTATCATGCCATGCATATTATCACATTCATATGACATATTCACATAGAACGAAGCCTTAAAAAACAAACATGAAACATCAAAAATCTCAACCTCGCTTGGCATCTCTCAAAGCCCAACCTTGCTTGGTGTCGCAACGCAAAAAATACTCGAGTGTATCGCACACTCGAAATACAACAGAGTCGCCACAAATTTTATTTGTTCCAAATGAATGAGAAAAGATCGAGAAAACCCATAAACAAACGAAGAATGGTCATCAAAACCAAATTAATGTTCGGGAGTCGATTAAGCAAAGGAAAGGGGAGGTGTTAGCACCCTTCACCTCTGTTATACTCAACGGGATCCATTATTAGTTTCGTGATTGAATGTTAGCATGTTGTCAACTTGCCTTCTAATTATTATGAGAGAAAGAAAAGAAAGAAAGGGAAATGTTTTTAGTTTTTTTATTATTGGACTCGCCAAGACTTCACATCTTATGCCTACGTATCCTCATGTTGAAATAAGGAAATCAGAGCTTCGTAGTTCAGGATGAACTAAAATGTTTGTTTGTTAGTTGATTTATATTTATGAAAAGTTTATTCGCATTTAAGCAATGAAAATCGCAATTGAGCGACAAGTTTTCAAAAGACTTGCAATTGGGTGAAATTTGATGGGTTTATGTTGTTTTTAGGTTTGTGAAAGAATGCTAGGGAATTGGCTTGGTGTTAGACCAAGGTTTATTTATTTTTTATTTTTTAATTTTTATTGAAAAAGGACTTGGCATTTATTTGAAAATGTGAATGATCGATAAACATGGATGATTGTTTTTTAAAATTCACCTTGATTTGGATCAAGGGTTTTAGGTTGGAAATGTTGATTTTAGTGACTGGATTTCTTTAATTAACCAATCAAAATGTATTGAATTAATTAAACAAATTAATTAAAAATTAACTAACCAAAATTAATTAATTAAGTTAAAGTTAATCAATTAATTTAAGATGGTTAAAGTTTAATTACTAAGATTAAGTAATTAAAACATGATTTAATTAATTAATCAATAAGAGATAAATAAATGAAAAGGGATTAAGAAAAGTGGTGGAATTAGTGAAAAGAAACTTGGGCTTGAGGGTGAGAGCCCATTAGTTCTCTCTTGGGTGAAGATGCGGGTATGAGTCAGAAAATGCATGGTAAGGTCAGTAAGTGAGCGTTGGGTTTTTAGTAGTTCAAAGCCCATTGTGATTGTTACTCTTTTATTCAGAAAGTGGAAGGTGTGAATTAAGATAATTTATTTCTCCGCCTGTATCTGTTGAATTAAATCGCTGAAAACCCAAAAATACATTCGGATATGCATATCTGAATGCACCTTTCAGCATATTTCGGATATGCACATCCGAAGTCACCCTTTTCCATGTTTTAATACTTAAGCGTTAGATTTAAAATTCTAGAGGTATTTTCGGATATACATATCTGAAATTATCCTTGTCATATTAGATTTATGCATACTTCGGATATACACATCCGAAAAAACATTCTATTTTAAAAAAAGAACACAACAGGGCTTATTCTGGATATGCATTTTCGAATTAACCTTCTACGTTTAAGAAAACGCATGGGTGGTTTCGGATGTGCATATCCGAATAAACCTTATTTTGGTTTTAAAAAATAGATTAATTTGGATGTTCATATCCAAAATAAGTCCTGATAGCAGGATAAGATTTCTTGGGTCCAAATTACTCCAAAAAATCTATAAATAGGGTCTCCAAACCATTTCATCATCATCACATACCAAAAACAGAAATGACACAAACATATCTACACCTTGATTTTGTCTACTTCAATGGTGAGGTTTCGCCACTTCAATTCAGGTTCTCGCAAGACACGTCGTTCCCCGAGTTGATTACCACACTGAATCTCTCTTGCAATATCCAGAGAATTGAAAGGTGATCAAGCTTGAGTATCGTTCACCCTCACTTGACACTGAAGAAAACATAAACTTTACCCCCATTTGAGCTTAAGAACGATAACGATTTAAAAGTTATGTGAGGTACTTTTCAACGATACTCTTCTAAGGGACCGATTGAGATGGATGCAGAGCTTCAAAGATCGGGAGAAGATGTTATTAAAATATTGCAACGTCCTCAACTACCCGTTTAGAACAATATATAACTTTAAATTTCAATAGAATTATATATGTAATTTCGATGAGTTATGTTGAATCTTCTATCCCGGAGATAAATCCGGATATGCATATTCGAAATAGGCAATCAGGTGGCTTAGAATATACATATGCAAAGTCAGTTTAATAAAAAAGAAATTGTGGTGACTTCGGATATGCACATGCGAACGCACCTATTCTTGACAAATAAGGTGAGTTCGGATATGCACATCCGAAGTTTGAGGGTATTTTGGATTTTTCGTCAAGGGCCTCCAAAAAACATAGAGGTGAGGAAAGAAATTATCGTGAACTAATGGGAAACACGAGCCAAATGGCCCACTCGACTTGCACAAAATGATGAGAGAAGGAAGTTTAAAAAAAAACCTAGAAATCATACGCGCCGCTTGAATTTGTTTTCCCAATATCTGTCATTAACTGACATTTATTGAAAAGGGGAAAGGAAATCGGTGGGTAAGGATTGGTTGACTTTGAATGGTCATACCTTTGTAATTTAAGTGATATATGTCACTTAACTATTCATTTTTTTAATTAAATATTATTTAATCATTACCTTTTAGTTAACGGTAAAAAATCAAGTTCTTGGCTCTAGTCGGAAAGGAGCATCCATTAAAGACGAATTCTTCGAATATTACCCGAATTTGATTCTTGTTGAAAATAAGACTTAGCCGATGAATCGTTCTTCTGAAACACGAAACAAGATTAGTTGGTTCACTATGGATTGGAACTTGTTTGTTAAACCAAAAAAAAAATAACTCAGCAAAATCACGTAACTTTGAGTCAATCATGTCTATTAGATATCAATCAAATTGATTAAATAATACCACATGCTTAAACTTTAATAAGAAAATTTTAATATAATAAAAAATTCAAATCCCCATGACATAATTTAGTCCACTTGATTTATATTCAATAGAGATGATTAACTCAAAGTCATGTGACCTATGATGCAAAATACAGATACAAGATTCGGTGCAGGTACTGATACCGATAAGAGATAGACATTTAAAAAATAATCAAAATACAGATACGTTAATAAAAAGTAATAGTTTTTTATAAAATGTACCAGAAGAAAACTAAATTATCAGATTCATAACTAAACATCATTATAAAAGTTTTAAAAGTTAACATATAAAAATAAAATTAAATGCATAAATATATTTTTATCTCAAAACTAAATAATAAAAAATAATAAAATATCACGAATACGGTACTTGTATCCTCAGCGAAGATTGTGGATCCTCTCATGTTACATTCTAATTAGATTTTAAGGAGTAAACTCTTTTCAAAATTTTTGCTGCAAAAGCTAGCTATGCTAAATGAACCCCACCTAAAACAGATTTAGCAAATTCCAAAAGATGAATAAAAACAAGAAAAGAAGAAATTGGGACACTAATAGCAACAAAAGCCATAGCCCCAAAAGCAACACTTGGCCTAGTATTCATCAACTGAGTCTGTAAAACTTTCATTGCTTCACATATGATTGCATCATAATTTGTATAATAGCAACTTTTCTCCCACTCCATCCAATTAGATGGTGCTTCATAGTTCTTCTCAATCATGTTCATCTCATGGATCCTTTTCCTTAAGATTATCATACTTTCATCCACTAACTTGCCACCAAAATTATTCTCTCTTTTGGAAGCCATAATTGGAACAAACAAAATGGGTTTCTTTGATTTGGTGGATGAAAATTGGTGAAATAATAGGGTGGAATTCATCAAAGAAATGGATTGCATATTGATGTTGTTGTGATTCGAATAATGTGTATTTTTTTTGTTTCTCTTGTCTTGTTTGGAAAATGTTGATCTGGTTGGTATTTGAAAGAAAGAGCAATCATATATCATATTTATATGCATTTGGGGAAGGTTCTATTTGCTATGATTAAATAATTAATAAAAAATAAACTTAGATAAGAATGAATGCATTTATTTTTTCTCAAATAAAAAAAGTGGCAGAACAGAACCGTGTATTTTATTAATCAAAACGTGTTTTGATTACCCATCTGTCAAATTGTGAAAGTCACTCGTGTAGCGGCGGTTAGTTGTTACTCCATCAGTTTTATAAAAAAAATTAAAAAATCATTTTCAGTTGAAAGATTGTACCGAAAACATGTACACATACTCAAAAATATTTTAATAATAATACTCAAGTTCTTATTATCTGTAATAGTAAGAACTTACTAATAAAAAGTTAAAATAGAATATATAATAAATAAGAAGAAAAAAATTATGATTGATACTAATATTTATATATAATAATTTTGAAAGATTTTATTTATAATCTTCATAAAATTGAAATAAATCTCAAAAGATATCATTGTGTGTTAGATTTCATAAAATTAATCTATTTCATATAAAAAAAGATTTATTTGTAAATTAAGTTATAAATTTTATTGGAGACATATTTTTTATCATTTCAAATAAGCTTTTTCATGTAAGTATATTAACTATTGATCTCATATTATTAAATTTCTAATAATTTTTAAAAAATTTATTTTATTAATTTCTGAATATATAATCATGTGACTTATCTATATAATTTAGTTTTACATTGTTAATTTATTTAATAAATTATTCGATCATAATTTTAACTGATTGAATCAAATAAACTTTAAATCGAGAGTGTGTCGATTTGATTTATGATTTAATTTTTAAAACATTAAATATGACTGTACACACACTTTTGATATAAATTTTATTTATTACATATATTTAATGTCTTCAATGATAGATGAGTTCAAAACTAAAATATCTTTTTAAATCATATATATAAATAATAAAAAATTTAAGTTTACATATGGTCATTTTTTTTATTTAAATATATTATAATAAATAATGAATAAATATAATATAGCATAATATTAAATAAACAAAAAATTAGTATATAATTTTAATATCAAAATAAAATATAACATACAAAATAGAAATATATATATATATATATATATATATATATATATATATATATATATATATATATATATATATATATATATATATATATATATATATATATATATATATATATATATATATATATATATATATATATATATATATATATATATATATATATATATATATATATATATATATATATATATATATATATATATATATATATATATATATATATATATATATATTTCATTCACATACACATAATTTATTAAATAGATATCACTATCATTCATGTGTAAGTCGTTATTCATTGAAATAAAATTATTTAAAATTTATGATTGATATTTATTATTTATTGTTAGTTGATCAAAATCTATAAAATAAAATATATTAAATAATTAAAAATTAAAAATATGAGTTTGTATAATAACTATAATATAGATGTATAAAAAATATTATTGATAAATTAAAATAATGATTTAGTTTGTTACTATGTTAATTTTTAATAGGATAGAGTAGTTATTATAATATTTAGTTAATATATAGATATATTAAAGTTAATAGGATAGACTAATTACTATATTATTTAATTAATATATTATTTTTTAATAAATAACTAATAAAATAAGATAAATTAAAAAGACATAATTACTAAAAAAATCTTAATTTTAGCTCTAAATTTTTTTTAAGAAATTTAACAACTTTAATATATATAAGATAAGATGCATTAGTATATTATTATTGAAATATTGATTGATGATAATTGATTAGTATGATCGAGATTTGAATTTCCAGAAGGGCGCACTAGTTAATTGGTAAACACCCGATCTAAAGTGGTGGCGATAGAAACTTTCGGTTAACCCTTGTTTTTCAAATAAAAATACTATGTTTGGTTCAATGTTGAAGTATGCAATTTTAGAAGTTCAAAATCAATTTTATGGTAGTTAGTTTTTTAAAAAACAAAAGACTATATCAAAGAGAGTATAAGAGATATTCAACTCAATATAAGAAGATAGATAAAAGATTCAAAAATCATAAAAATATTAGTCTACAACTACATAGCTAATACACAATAAAGTGTTGTTGATTAGACCTAATATAAGTTACTCCAAAACAATTTTAAGAATGAATTTTAATCAAACAAATTAACTCTTTTTCATTAAGAAAATTCTCTTTAAAAAGAATAACATTTTTAGCTAGTCATAAATTTCACACAATCTAATATCGAAATATCATTCGATATTCCTTCTTTGTTCTTCCTGCAAATAAAATTTCATAGTTGAAAAAATAGTTTAGAACAGAAGATGAAACCGAGAATCTCGCAATTCCCAACCAAATCAACACTTGATCTCGAATCCGAACTGAAATAGGACAAAAGATAATAAGATGGGTCACATTTTCTTCATGAAGGAAACAAAGAGGACATACCGTCTCATGAGATCCATTGATAACTCTATAACTTTTTAGCTCAGAGCTAATCGACAATCTATTGAGGAACAACCTCTAAGCAAAAACTTGAACTTAGAAAGAACGATGACTTTCCAATTAATTCTTAACGCAAGAGCAAGAGATGATGAAATGGAAAACAAATAAAATGAATGATGATGCAGTCTTGAATAACCTCTTACAATCTAATAGATTGTAAGGTAATCATCAAAGCAATTTAAAAATCAAAAGATTTATTTATACGAATTAATTGCACAATCAAAGAGTTTAACAAATTCCTAATAAAATGTAAATTATATATATATATATATATATATATATATATAGAGAGAGAGAGAGAGAGAGAGAGAGAGAACGATACGAGGATTTATTTAGGAAGTTCACCAATCGTCCTCGCTATGGCTACGTTTTCCCCCAATTCTGTTTGAAATTGATAAGTTTCTTACTATGAAAAAAGTTGTTTACAAAAGAAATGTAGCAATCCAACACTACAAACCATATGTTTGGTGTTAATCCTAACAATTTCGCTTCCTTGATCTGATTTCGATCAAGTCACCCAACAATACCATCTTGATCCACCGTCTTACGCTACTCCTTTGCAAGAAATTATCGTTCTTCAAAGCTCTTCACTCGACTGAATCCAAATTAAGAATTATTTTCACCCAAGATTTTCTAACGATTCACCTTCGCATGCTACTTTTTTGCAAGAACCTCTCGTTCTTCAAATTCTTTCACTCGGCTGAATCCAATATTTGCTAAACCTTATAAAAAAACCTCAAATCCACACTTTGATCTTGAGGTAAAAACTCTCACCTCTTATCCGATGAAATCGCCTATGATTCTCAACCCAACCTTAAGTTACAACCAACCTAATTGAACGTTATCAACCAAGTCTAGATGGCACAATGAATGATTATGTGTATGTTGTTTGTGTGTATACATAGATCCAAGGTTGAAGATAATGATCAATCTTAGTATGTGTTTATAGTTTTATCGAGTTGAAAAAGATGCATGTATGAAGTATATATAAGTGTGCAAGTTTGAGGCAAAAGGGAAACATAAAAGTTTAAAAAGGAAAAAAATTGAGAAATTCTGACACACACGTGTCGACACATAAGTTATGTGTCATATGTAATGACATGTGTCGACCTATATGAGGTCACTTGTCGATACTAAATTACAAAGGCTACATGCTTTAAAACAATAGTACACGTGTCGACACAAAACACAAATTGTTGACACATCCAAGTATTCATAATGACATGTGTCGACCTGAAATGAAGAATGCGTCGAAACATAGTTATAAAGCCTACATGATTTATTATTGATCCACGTATGTTGACGCATATAATGAATGTGTTGACACATGCAACTAATTTTTAGTGTATGATACCTATTGACAAATTTTTCAAACCTTTTCAAACATGTCCTAGATGCATTCTAAGTCCCTAATGCAAGCGTGCACATAATGACTTAGAGATATCGTTCAATATACAGAAAAATTAAATTTATCCTAGTTTTGACATCATGTAAAATATCTATTTATGAGGAAAATTCATTCACATACTCCTCCTTTTTATGATGGCAAAACTTTATAACTTGCGATGATGCTTTTCGTGTCTTCATGAAGGCTCCCCCTCAATTTATGCATCCTAACTTTATCTCTGCATATGCTTCTCCTCCTTTGACAACATCAAAAAGAGACAAATCAAGCCTTGATAAGTATCATATATCACACAAATATTAGTTATACCACACAGAAGTGTTATGCAAAAATAAGAACGTGCATTCACATATACTCATATATGTAGAGTGACGCAAAGATAAAACATAAATAACATGCAATACACATCACCATAAGAACAAACGCAAATGCATGAAAGATTATGGATGTAATTCACTAGCAAACTCTTGAGTCGCTTCAAAAACATTACAATTATGCAACACTTCACATTGGTGCTCCCGATGCTGCACACGCATGTGCCTAGCTTGGTGAAAAATAAATCACCACTAAAACCAAAATCAAAGATGCTATCATAAAATGGGATATAAATTGATCAAGAATATAATTTGCATAAAATATGCTCAGATTACTTGAATTGCAAGAAATAATAAAAAACATGTTTGTTTACCAAACATATGCTTCAAATATGAAAGAGTCAATGGCATGAAGTCACTATAAGCATATAAAACTGACACATATTATAGTTATCAATTGATATTTTTGGAAGTAGACATTCATGAAATATATCATATATTGAGCATATCAAACATTTGGAATATAAATAACTATGTATTAAGAAAAAGACTTACTTTCAAGGAACATTGCATAAAGAAACAACTTTTTTTTACTTCACTTCATTTTTTCATCTTCAAATTTCTCATATCTC